GCGATATGCTGACTCTATGAACTGCTTAGAGAGGGCTGAAAACCCTATGAAGCGGTATATAAGTCTAACTGCTATTGCATCTTCTGTAAGCAGGGCAATAAAGATGAGGCTAGAAACAACACCAGGACATTTCCTTCCTGCCTTCCTTACAGGATTAGCCCTGAAAAGTGGGGAAAAACCCAAAATGAGATTTCTTCCAACAATTGGTTCTCCAAACTGCTTAGACGCTTTAACAACCGGTTCTCCCAGAATCGGTGCAAAGCGGCCGAATCCCTCCACTGCTTCAAAGGTACAAGGGCACTGAGAAAAGTGACACGTGCCCATTTTTCACACTTACGACCCTGTGTCCATGTGATCCAAATTCAGACTTTTGGCCACTGACTCATATTTATGACTGTTGCAACGTCCCGGGGTCACATGATCCCCTCCCGACAAGCAAACTCAAGGGGGGGAAAGCCAGATTCATTTAGCGGCCGTCTTACTGCAGTGATTCACTTAGCAAGGGTGGCAGGAAAGGTGGTGAAACGGGGCCAAGCTCACTTAACGAATGTCTCACTTGGCAGCGGAGATGTTGGGCTCATAACTGTACGGTCGTAATTCAACCTGTATTGACAGCCTACAGAGTTGATGGCGCAACTCAACTTTAGAGATCCGTCCTGAGTCATTTCTTTTAGTCCTGTTGGGCTAAATTGAAATGGAAAGGATTTCAGAGCAGAAAGTGTGTCTGGTTTGTGCCTGGAAGGAAAATACTTTTTGAAAGGATTTTGTTTGGGGAATGGACGGCAGGGCCAAATCCTTTTCAACAATATAGATCCACCCATTTAGAAGACAGAGGTAGCCTTTATGCAGCACTATTTAATTTATCACAACAATTTTATTCCAAAAATTGGTGAATTTGTCTGTGTGGGTGTGTGGCGTGCGGTCTATTTAAAAAATCTAATTGACTACCTGGATATGTAAATGTTACCATTGTTTTGAGGGGCTTCAGAATATTTGATGGATTAGGAGATTCTGCCCCAAAGAATTCTTCTAAAATCAGGAAGACGTCCAGTCCAAATTCCCTAAAAGGAAAAGCCACGGGGTCAAATCGCACACCTACAGGCAAAATCACTACTGAACCACACCAGGCATCCCTGAGAGAAGCAGGACTAATTTTAGGAGCCCAGTTTTCGAAGCTCTCATTAGCAATCTAGAACTGCCCTGCTCCCAGTAACTAAGATTAGGAAACCTGTCGATGGCTCCAGTTCCCTTGAATGTTACTGTTGTGGCCCGTGAGTGGCCAGGGGAGTTGGCAGCAGATTTGGACAGTGAGGAGGTTGCCGGGGAGGGGAGGGAGAGATGGGCCAGTCCTGGAGTCTGGGGAAGGCTCTGAGGAGGGCTCTGTGTCGGAGGCAGAGAGGGGGCCAGGGCCGTATGCCAGCTATCAGCTGCCTTCAGAGTCAGACATCAGTGGGGCAGAAGAACAACTAGAGGCTGTTCCCAGTGTGCGCATGCGCAGAGTTGCCAGACAAACAGTTAAATAACAGG